GACAGCATAGTTACCATGAAAGTGCTCTGCTGAATTTGCAAGCACTATCCAAACACACATAGTCTGAAAGACTTGTGATAATTGTATTTTCCATAATTCATGTATGTTAATCTGGAAAAACAAAAAGCTCAATTCACTGCTTAAATCAAGAATTGCTTTGCCTTCATGATATTTGCTCAGTTCCTAATTCACCAATATTAAAACCTGGGTTTCCAGTAAACCACTTTTGAGAACAGCTTCAAAGACCTACTTTTAAAAAAGAATGCAAGACTAGCATTAGGCTGACATCAAAGGTCCTGTATATTACATAAATGTTGCAACAAAAATACATTTCTATTCAGCATTGCAGTCAGCCCTACTTTCCTGCATAATACTCAATTCTTTCCCTCCTCAAACTTGGCTGTCTCTTCCACCTAACAGATACACACATCATTCAGTGTAGAGCACATTAATTCCACTTGGACTCTTGTTGGAGCCCTTTGGCTTTTTCCCTCTTCAAAGATTTGTACTATGGGAACTCTTAGCATTTCCCAGGACTATTGACACCTCTCACATAGCCAGAGATACTGCTACCTTGGTTTCTAATATATAGATACTTCTATTTGTAGAAACTGTTCAACACGTAGTAATTTAGCTTCCTGTATTTTGATGGGTGTGACAAATGTCTACCTTTTGAATAACTGTGATCTGATGGACTCAACTAGCCACAATCTAATCCAACCAGCTCTGATGAGACATAATTCAGCCCACTAGCCTGTAGACATGTCTAGTTGTCGCAAAATAAAAATACACACATTTCCATGTTCTTATTATGTATTTGATTTATTTACTTTATTTTTAACCTGCCTTTCTCTCAATAAAGGGGCTTTTTAACAGGTGATGATTTTGTTTAGAGCTATTTGGAAGTAATTTTGGGAGGTGCTTGGGGTTGGTAGGAGAAGGTTCATTTGTGAAAAAAATGACAAAATTCTCACCCTAACAAACACTACAATGATTAGAGAAACCTGGCAATCAAATTTAGTGCAGAGAAGTTGAAAAAGCTGGTTGTGTTTAGCCCAGAGAAAAGATTAAAGGAGATGTGATTGTGCGCTTCAAATACCTGACAGGTTGTCAGGCAGAAGATGGAACAGGATTGTTCTCTGTTGCTTCCGAGGTCAGGATTAGGATCAAAGGGTGGAAACTGCAGGGAAGCAGATTCCACCTAAACAATGAGAAAAATGTCTTAACACTACAATATGTTCAGCAAGGGAACAGACCACCTTAGAGGGTGTCTGACAGGAAGGCAGTAATTACAACCTTTATTACAGATCCTGCATTGACCATGAGGCTAGACTGATGACCTACAAGCTCCTTTTCAACACGGTGATTCTGCAATTTTCTCACAATGACAAATTCTCAGAACTCAGAAAAGGACCTAGGGCTCTGAAGGCATGCTTTTTAAAATGTTCAACTCTCTTTTTAAGAATAGTAAGACTAGCTCAGTTAGAAAAGATGTAATTAGAACTGTCATGGAAATGGGCAAAAAGAAATATAAAGAATTAACACCCAGCATTCTCCACTTAGTGACTTTTTTTGGTACTGGTTGAAAAATAGTTTATCTTGCAGCCTATACATTAGGATCTCAGTTGATAAATGTCTGGACTTCAATAAACACACCCCATCTCTTTCCTCTGCTTTTCACTAGCTTGAATTCCTACTTGCCTAGGATTTACTGCATTGTGTAGATTCCTTCCAACAGAACACAATAATTCTAACAGAAACTATGGGGACTGAGAAGACTGAATCCTCTTTGCTGCAGCGGTGATGTGCTAATCAACACCAAGTTATTTAACAAGAACAGTAATATCTCATTCCAGATAATGAAACCAGCTTTATAAAATCTTTGTTCCTGCCATGCAATGCAATCAGATTAAGACTGATCAACTGTGTGTTTTTCTTAGGCACTGACAACAGTGTAGTTGCATAGAAGATACTGTGACTAGGAGACATGTATCCAAAGTGACACTATGGGCCAATGAGGGCTCCTTTTAGGATCTCTTCACAAGGGGCAAAAATGCCCTGTTTTGCTGCCTTCATGCATAGCTTTGACGGGACCTGCCATGCGCCATCACATGACACACAGCAGGCCCTGCTCACTTTCCTTCAGAAGGAGAGGTGAAATGCTGAAAAGCGCCTTGCCCTCCAGTATGGGGAGGAAAGCGTCATGTGAGTAGCTCCACATTTTTGACCCCAAAGCCCATGTGATAGCAGCAAGGGCGGTGGGGCAACATACATTGCCATGCGTTGCCACCCTTTCTGTCATTTGATGGCGGTAGGAAAGGGTGCCAAGACACCTTTCTTGTGTAATGAGGGGAGAAAGAAGGCCGTGCAGGGCATCACGAGTTGCCCCATGTGCCTTTCCTTTTGTTGACTAAAGCCGGAGAGATGGAACAACCCAGCTGGGCCGTGTGAGAAGGTCCCTTGTCAAGAACTTCTCATCAGACACTTCCGTTTGAGTGATTGGTCATGATGGAGCAAATCAAACAGCTGTTAGATTTAGTCAGCTTAACTACCTAAGTACCCTCTGAGTGTATTGTGTCATCTCTTCCCTTGGTTATGAGCAGCCTCCAGCTTATTTAAGTCTACTCTGGATTCAGAATTCCTTGAGATTATTCATGGCCATCATAACTCGAATTTGAACCATTCTTGCTTCTTTAATCATATATACCTATTTTTTCATGCTCACTGCAATGAAGAAAAAGATTTGATAATGATTTCTGTTAGATCACAGTTTAACAATTATTTCATGTAGGTGATGTGAGAGCCTTCTCCACAAGACCTTGGATGCAGAAGGTTTGCTCAGGGGGTGTATGGCTTAGCAGTCTCCTTTTCTGCCATCTTGTTGCTGCCTCCTAGCATCTGTTTCCTGGTGCAAGAGGTTCACTCTGCTTCATGCAGTTTTATTTGTTCCAGCTTCTTCTTTATCAGATGCTTTAGTATATCGATACTACTCTCTAGAACTTTCACACAGTGAAATCTGTTTTGGATTGGTTTGTTAAATTTAGATTTCATTTTTCTCAAAATATGGACCCAAGGCAGCTCACCATATGAATTAAAACAAGATGCTGTTAAAACCATGGAAAGTTAAAAAAATTAAGAATTCTAAAAACTGTTTTTTAAAATGCTGTTGAGCCATAATTATACAGGTTGAGTATCCCTTATCCAAAATTCTTGGGACTAGAAGTGACTCAGTTTTAAGATCTTTTGGATTTTGGAATATCTGTATCTTGACAATGGGACCCAATGCAAGCAGAAAGGAGAAGGCTTCTTGTATGTATTTTTGGGTGGTATTTTGCGTGGACACTATGGGATTCAATATCATTCAGAACTGATGAAGTTGTTTTTGAAAATTAAGAAAATTATGATTTTGTATTAATAAATCAGGCTGAGGTTTATCTTAATGTGGTGAAAGATTTTCTTGGTATAGTCAGCCCTGGATATCCATGGATACTGGATATCCATGGATACTTATTCAAACAGCTAAAAGTTCAAAAAAGAAAAAAAATCTAAAAAGCAAACTTTTATTTTGCTCTTTTTTATAAGGGACATGCCAGTTAAAGGTTCTTTCAAAAGAGCCTGTTCTCATGCTGTTTTATTTGGGAGAGCAGGTTTACAAGATAATTCAATCATGTGTGATTCAAAACATCTTTCAAACTAGTGTAAGAATGGGCATGCAAAAGACATCCATACTTTGACTTCACTATACCAGGCAAACAATATTCAAATGAGTGCTTTGTCTTTAATTCTTATGAGAATAAAGGTCTCAAGATTCACTTAATTAACATTATGCTGTATATCTTGGATAAGTTAGGTCTTTATAGGCCTGCATGGAAAATGCACTGTTGTTCAGAGGATATTAGACTACATCAAGTGTAGCATTCTTATGGTCGTACAGAAGGTGAGGGGCGGTGAGACAGCGTTTTATTTGCCCATAAAATTCAATTGCCCCTGGAATGCTTTCTTAGGGACCATAGGATTGCAGCCTAAGTGTCTTATAGACCAGGCATATTTACTCAGAAATAAAACTTCAGTTCATTGAGAGGTATTGAAGGGCATTTAGGACTATGTTCTACTTTGTAACTCTGTGTGTTCCTGCTTTAATATAATATTGAGTAAAAATCAAGTTTATCGCCCAATCACTTCAGGTTTTTTGGGCTATATGGCCATGTTCTAGAAGCATTCTCTCTTGACGTTTTGTCTGCATCTATGGCAGGCATCCTCAGAGGTTGTAAGTTTATTTTTCTTTCTTTTTTACGTTCATCTTCAACTCCCACCAAAAAAAAAAATCTTGAAAGAGCAAACAAGTGTATAACCCTCCATGTCTCCAGAGTGAAATAGCTGCGGAAAGCATTGCTCTTAATCTGCAATGGCTAACTTTTCCATCAGGACCATTATATCCTGGTGTTAAACAAACTGATTAATGTATCATGCAAGTGCTGGATCAAGAAGACATGTGTACAGATTTCAAGAAGCCGCTTTCCTAGGGTCCATGCAAGAAGGAAGGAAACCATCATGTACACAGCCATATTTCAAAAACTCTTTGTACAAGTGGTAATTATGTGCTGTGGCTGTTACTGATTAAATCAGTGGTTCTCAGCCTGTGGGTCCCAGATGTTTTGGTCTTCAACTTCCAGAAATCCTAACAGCTGGTAAACTGGCTGGGATTAATGGAAGTTGTAGGCCAAAACATCTGGGGACCCACAGGTTGAGAACCACTGGATTACATTAAGATGTCCCTGCCTTTGCACTACATGCACAGATGTTAAGAGCGAGGGGCTCTATCAGTCATTATGCATCTTGAATCAGTTTCTGGCATGACGACCTGTGGGTTTTCTTGGCAAGGTTTGTTCAGAGAGAAATTTCCATTGCCACCTTCTGAGACAATGTGACTACAAACTATACACTCCTTTCCTTGTCATATGCCGCTTGCTCTCCCCTTTCTTGATGGAGCCCATTACGCAATGCACGGATACTTCCAGCTGGGCTTCATCAGGAAAAGGGAGAGCAAGCATCGTATGCCTCTGCTGCAGCAACATCGAAGGCTACCCATGTTGCAGGGAAGCTGGGCAGTGATACTCCCCCTCCCATGTGATGGGGTGCCAGGTAAGTCACATGATATGGGGCATGAAGTGACAGGTTCTCCATGCCCCCCATCAGGACCCCATGGATTCGCCATAATGCGTGGCAAATCCATGAACCTTTGTGATGAGGTCTCTAGTGGGTTTCCATACCCAAGCAGGAATTTGAATCCTGGCCTCCCAGTGCCCTAGGATCATTCTCACTGTGTAGCCAAATCTGATTGCTTACATACACTCTTTCTTTCTTTCTTTCTTTCTTTCTTTCTTTCTTTCTTTCTTCCCCCTTGGGTTGGTTTTAAAGTTTTAATGTTTTATTATAGTTTAATGTATCTTGTAGGATGTGTGACAGCAACTACTAATATTTGGTCTTATATGCTTTAACTTTTATTATGCATGTTTTTATCCGCTGTAAGCCACCTTGGGCCCTTAAGTGGGGAAAGATGGAGTATAAATCTCATAAATAAATAAATAAATAAATAAATAAATAAATAAATAAAATTTCTTTCTTTTTTTCTTTTGTCTTAATCCCATCTTTTATCATTTCAGGGAATTGTACAAAGTTAAACCCTTGCAGATTGAAACAATATACCGTAAAGAGGATTAAAACAAATGTGGTAACGGGTTTACAAAGCTACAATTATTCGAAATCATACACATGTATGATTAAGCCCTAAAACTTTCATAAAGAGTCTTGTCTTGATCTGTGCCATTAAGAAATCAGTGATAAAAATCTTCAAGATGTGGAACAGCCATGTCCTCCCACACTGTATTGTTCTCATTTCTTGCTGGAGTTTACATGGAGTTTACTCAGGCTGGAGTTTACATGGAGAGACAATCCTTCATGTATGAGGCTCCAAGCCTCTTAGGGTTTTAACTGTCATCACTAGAATCTTGAATTCAGACCAGAAGTGAACTGGCATCTAGTTCACCTCCTTTAAGACATGTGTTAAGTGCTGCTTATATGGCATGCCAGCAAGCATTTTTGCTGCTGCATTTTGCCCTTGCTGCAGCTTCTGAGTCATTTTTTCAAAGGCAGCCCATTATACAGCATATTACGGTAGTCCAATCAGAAAGTTGTTTTGATAGAGTGAAAACCGGTGCCAAGCATTCTGAACAAAAGACTGCACTTGGTCATTCAGTCACAGAAATGGGTCACTCCCAACCTGTTCCTTTAGAGGAAATGCACTCCCACACAGAGCAGAAAGCTGACAGCGTTTCTGGACTTAAGCTTCATCAATCCACAGAACTTTCATCTTATTAAGATTCAGCCCTCATCCAGTTCAATACAGCATCTAAGTATTAATCCAGCAATTGCACAACTAATGACAAGGAAAAATAGAGCTGAATGTCATCAGTATACTGATGGTACCTCTCCCTAATTCTCATTATGGTTTCAAACACTGACTTCATATAGACATTGAACAGCATTGGGGGACAAGATGGAACCTTGTAAGACTTCTCAGTTTAATGACCATTAAGGGCCTTTCAGACAGCCACTCAATCCACAGTAAGGAAGTGGGATAAAAAAATCCCAGTACCACAAAGAGAGTCCACACACGGAGCTATTAGTCCCAGGAAATGGTCCCACAGCATCCAGAAATTGTCTCTCCTCACCCTCACTTTTTCCAGCTCCACGTTTTGCCCTCTTGAAGCCCATTTCCCTTTGGAGTCACTTGCTGCGAGATGCCGCTGCCCACTGTGTAATTTCAAAATTGGTTTCCTTTCAGGAATACACAGGAAATGAGAACAAATGAATGGTTGGAGGGAGTTTTCATGGGAATTCCTTGTTTCTTTTGCCTCCGTTTAGATACCTATGTGACCATGGTTCCATCTGTTTACATCTCTCCACCAGGTGTTTCGGGATTTTAAAATGAGGACAAGCAATTGAGCAGTTTTCACCAGTGTACCACAAGAAGATTTTTTTTTTTAGCATTGGGATATACAGTGCTCTGTAGCAGCACAGATCTGAAATTGGGTTTTATGCAAACACTTTAATCACTTGCTTTTCAAGCAGTCCCAAATTCAAATACACATTAGGGGTGCACATTTTGTAGCCTCCCCCTTTTATCCCAATTTCTTTTCGGTTTTCAGGCCTGTGTAGATGGGCCCTGAATTGAATAGGAATCTTACAGTGCTTCTCTTGGCAACTGGTCTCACAGATAGAAGTGGAACCACTTTAACATCATTATTATTATTATTATTATTATTATTATTATTGCCTAATTTTTATTTTGTGTATTTTAATATGTATTTTATGGAAATATGCTTTAATATGTGTATTCTATGGAGTGTTTAAGAATGATTCTGTATTTTGATGCTGTGTTTTAGCAATGTTTTAATCCGCCTTGAGTGTAAATAAAGGTATATAAAATAATAATAATAATAATAATAATAATAATAATAATAATAATTATCATAAGTCCTCCGGTTCCCATCTGATGAAACTGATTCTGTAAGATGGTGAATTGCATTAAAAGTTGCTGACACATTTCAGAATATAACAGGATAACATTTTCCCTGTCTTTCACCTAGAGTTCATCATCAGTCAGTACAATTAAGGCCCTTTCATTGCCACACCCTATTCTGAAACCAAGCTGAAATAGATCCAGATGGTTTGTTTCCTCAGAAGCTGCCCAATCACTTCAGGTTCAAGGGAATATTTGTGACGGGGTCCAGTGAGGTCCTTTTCAGGAGACAGCACACCAGAGGCTCTTTCAAGGCTGCAGTCACCTCCAATTGATGCCATTCTTCTGTGGGAAATGACACCGTTAAAAAACACCTCTAAAGAAGCTGAAGGTTTTGGCAGTTAGTGAATACACTGTAAACAAAGTCTGAAAAGCTAGAATCTGCAACCAGGGACCTTTCAGAGCCTTCTGGAAAACATTATGTTGTAGGTGTACATTTGGTGTTGTGCTACTTAGAAATAAACATTATTACTTGGCATATGTATGAGTAGGATTTGGCTGCACAGCTGTGCATCAGTGATAGTGAGACTTGGGGGAAGGATTGAAAAACCAATAGTGCACAGAATATACACACTGATTTTTGTGTGTGTCTCATACCAAACGCTAGTCAAACAGTTGTACTGAGGGAAAGCCAAAACTAATTTGAAAATATGTTGTTCAATAGTTCTGTAATGGATGGATGTATATTTTTGATGTGACTGTTCCTATTTTAGAGATGCATTATGGGTAATGCATTTGTGCACTCCCAGTGATCAGAGATCTCTAGAAAGTATACAAGTTGAGTTGCTACACTGTAATATGTTGATTTCAAGCTCTCTCCTTATTCAGTTAATGTTTTAGAGACACTTTAAAGCAAATAAAACAATAAAATGCTTACTGTTTCCTTTTAAAACATCTGAATGCTAGCAGCTGAAGGTTTGTGGTACAAAACACTCATAAACAGAGAGGAGGTAACTCAACCTAACTGTAAAATTAATTTAAGCAGTTCTAGTTGTGCCTTGAAAAGATTGAAATTATTCCTTATTATGTAATAATTATAAGATAACTCAGCATTGTCCTATTTGCTGCTTTGCAGAAATGAAGTAAATACAAACCAAGTTACTTCCAGGTTCCAGTGTTACTTTTATAATAATAATAATAATAATTCTTACTTGCCTCTCTTCATGGCTCGAGGCGGGTAACAACATTGCTAAAACACAAAATCATTTAAAAACACTCTGTAGAATACACATATTAAAACATATTTCCATAAAATACATATTAAAATACACAAAGTTAGACATAGAATTGAAGTTTAAAATGAGTCATTAAAACTATCTGGGTAGTTTTGTGGAATTCTGGAACATAAAAAATTCTCTAAGGGGATAGAGATAGCAAGAAATTGACCATGTACACTGCCACATAATCCAATTTGAACTGCATTATAATGGTCAGTGTAGACTCCTATAATGCAGATTGAACTGCATAGAACAGGATTATATGAGTCTAAAATCCAGTTCAATGCAAATTAATCTGCATTCTGAAACTGGATGATATGGCAGTGTAGATGGGGCCATGGATCTAGGTAAATATTATTCCCCTCCCCATGCATGCATGCGTGAATGAATGTTTCTTCCCATCAGCAGCATGTATGATCTCTAGTTCAGTAGGTCAACTTGTAAAGAAGATACAGAGCTCAGTATTAAAATAGAAAAGATAATTTTCAGAGAATTGAGCATGAAAATAAATTATATCTGAAAGCTAGTGACTGCTGCGAATCTTTCTGAACAAGCACTGCTTGAAACAATGAATGTGATTTCTCTGTGGAGAGACAAGACAGAAATACCTCTTTCCCTCAGCTTCATGGAAGGAAATTACTCTTTAATATCAAGTTTAAAAAATGCAGAATTGAGTGGGCAGCAAATCAGGAACTCTAGTGTGGAATTTCTCTACCAGCAAAGCTTTATTTCTCATCAGGATGAGAAATGATGCTTTTAATTTCTAAGAGCATTTATTTTCTTCACAGGAGTTGTGACATGAAGCATGCTATGTTTCTCATTAAGAACAATATGACAACACTTTTCTGGCTGTATCATGAACAAAGTTATATATTAGGGCTGTGTGGTTTCGTTCGTTAATTTCGTAATTCGTTAATAATTCGTATTTAAAGTGGTTTACAATCCGATATTGAACCATTCAGGAGCAACTAAAAATCGAAACGAATTTTTAAAATTTATTTCGTAATTGTTTCGTAATTGGTTCGTTATTATTTCGTTATTATTTCCGTATGTCTGGTGCAAGTTTTATAGTTGTTGTTGTTTTATCAGTGATAAAAAAAAATTATCACACCAACAGTCAACAACAGAGGGAGAGGGAAGCTTCAGAAGTTCCCCCTGTCCCATTTGGAGGGTTTTTTAGCGTATTGCGCAATCGCGTCCGCCATTAACGAATCGATTCGTTATTGTTTCGAAATTGTTTCGTAATTTCCGAAATTTCGTAAATATCGAACTTTTTAAAAGAAAAAATTCGGAATTCTTTTAAATAACGAAACGCAAAAACCCCCTAAAAACGAATCGAATTTAGAAACAAATTTTTCCGTGGTTGGACAGCCCTATTATATATATCTTGTTATTTGAACTGGTATGATGGAAATGGCATCTCATATTTTCTGCATATTCCCCCCTTCTCATATGCATTTTTGTGAGGAAGAGTAGAAAAATGAAGTATTCCAAAATATGTTTTGATATTATAAAATTTATTGATTTGCCATGTCTGAAGTGAATTGAGAATGCGTGTTTGTTGGATTGCATACTGCAAGTCATTTCTGGAGTGAGAGAATTGGTTGTCTACAAAGATGTTGCCCAGGGGGTACCCGGATGTGTTGCTATCCTGTGGGGAGGCTTCTCTCATGTCCCCATATTATGATACTGCATTGTATTTATGCCAATTAAATAGTGATGTCCCCACTATGAAAAGCAAGGTACCACAGTATTTGAACTCTACCCAGCTATTTACAGGTCTATAATGACTTGTTGAGAAAATGGTCAACAGGCATAAAGTTATTCATCTTTTGTCACCTTTCTTTTATTTTGCAAAATTTTTCCCCCCCCATCAAAAACAGATTTTCCAAGTGCGGATTTTGCTCACAAAACCAAGGATATTTTTCCCCCTCAAATGAATGTTTACAAAAAGAGGGATATAATGCAAATGAACACTATAAAATGTACAAAAGCCTCAGAATATGATCCTGTGCAGAGAAATCTTTGGAAACAATTCCTCTTGAACATGAGAATGAAGTAAGTGAGCATTTGTATCTCTCCCTACTTCTTGTATTAGCCCCAGTGTGGACTAACATTTAGATAAGGGTTGACAAGGGCTCCACAACATGAGCCATTCTATCATGACTCTCTCATCAAGCAAATTGAGAAGAACGATTGCCACATTAGTGTCAGAGATCTTCCAGGAAATAAATATAACTGCTAAGGTGGAAACTAAGGCGGAAAGAAGGGATGAGTGGTATGAGTGGTATCTTTGCTGAATTTCCACTTCTTTCCTAAAGATCCAAGGGAATCTACTTGTCCTGAGAGTAGGTAACATGAAGCAACCAACTGAAAGAGTGCAGCCACATTGTAGATTAATGGAATCTGACCCCACTTTAATTGTCTTGGCTCAATGCCATCAAGTTTTACAATGTCTAACCTTTTCCACCAAAAACCTCAGGTGCCTCAATTAACTCCAGTTCCCATGGATCCATACCACAGAGCCATGGCAGTTGAAGTGGTGTCTGACTGCATTAATTCTACAATGTAGCAGCCTCAGGCAACTGATTTGTGCGTCATGAAAAGGTAGCAAATGGTTAGTAGCTTCATTCATTATTGGTGTACTTCCATGCAAAGGAGGATTGCTTGTAGGATTATCTGCCTCAAAGATGGTTTTTCATGTTCCCAGTCCACCTCCAGGAGCAATGTATACAACATTCATATTTTCCATTTGATTTTAGACCTATAAGCCAATGAGGTATGTTTATATTCCTTGCACTATAAAATTCTATAACACCTAGTGCACATGCTACAGAAAGAAAGAAAGAAAGAATATGCCATAATAATAACTGATTTCAGGATGACTTGCTTGGATGAATGCATCTGATTTATTCATACAGTGTTTTTTTTAAAAAATGAAGTCTCAGTCTCTTGCTGGATGTAAGATTTCTCAAGGGGATTGAAGAATTCTTGAGATAATGTTTGGCTGTGCTCCAA